TTTTATCAAACCACTTGTTTTTATTGCTTTTAGTATTTTCAATGTATGATCTGTTATCTGTTTATGAGTTAAGTCTCTTGTTTGTATAATCGAAAACTCGCGTGGACAAACTGTTCGTGACACCTGACTTGTTCTGTAGTATGTGTAAAATAGTAATAAGAACTAATTGCAAATAATTAACCACCATTATTATTATATTGAGTCCTTTTACACACTGTCATACATTTAGTTACATCAATAACTATAATAATTAGATATATTGACTACAATTTGAGTGAAATGTTTTTAATATTAATTTATCTTATACTGTTACTGTACTATGCTGACTTGTTCTATATTATGCTAGACATAATCTAAAGAACTAATAAATTATTATTATTAGCAAAATGAACGACAATGACCTGCAAATATTTTGGTGAAATACAAAACCACGAATTCAGTGCTTTCCCGGTTGGAAGGATAAAATGGATCCATGATAGCCACGTTGCAGTGATATTGCTTCATCATTTCCTCAGGCAGCATAGTAATAAATTATTCTCAAGTAACTATTCTATAGGAATACATATTTGAGCACGTTTGACAGTGAAGTGGTGTTTTTACTACTTCGTACTTCTATTGTCTAATATGATTCTGGTATGATTCGAAATCTATGAAAAAGCAAATAAAATCAGAATGATTAGCTGAAATATCAATTATACAAAAGCAATAAAACGTGAACACAAAAGACAATTAAACATCAGACAGATCCCAAGTACCACAGAAATCACAAATTCAGCAATTTAGTCTGGAAGCTCTAGATAATATACAGTGTGTAAATAAATTCATTATTTCGGTTACTGCGCATATTTTTTAAAAATTATAATTTGACATTCTTCAACGTAAAAATGCCACCCCTACCTTCAACCCCCTTTGAATGACCAAAAATGTTATCGCTTTTAATTTTATCGCAACAATTGAGATAAAATAAATCATGTGGTTACCAAAATTTGATAAAATACACTCAAAAACTAGAATGTAATGCAAAACATAATGAAATGTAGAATACAAAAAAGAACGATGTATGTTAACGAAGTTAACGAAGCGTTAATCGTTCTTTTGAGTCATTCAAATCTGAAGGTTTAGTTTTGTACACATTGCTCTTTACACATCCCCTTAAAAAAATCTAATGATGAATATCAGGTGATCGCGCTGGATATTGAATCGATCCTCGCTTCCCTCTCCACCGATTGGGAAATGTTGTATCGAGGTATTACCGGACATTATTTTGGTAATGTGGTGGTGCTCCACTGGAACTTGAGGGTTTCCNTAAGAACATCAGGTTCGAATTCGACACCTCAAAAACCTCCTATTACCAAGTTTCGTTCAATTAAGTTCAGTATTTCAAAAGTTATTTGAAAAAAACGAAAATAAAAATAAAACTTCAACATCGTTATTTGCGTACATTTTGATCGTTATCTGCGTACATTCGCAATATCTTGCAAAAAATAAGTCTTTTATAACAATTTTTTGTGAGTAATGGTCAACTAAAAGGCATATTCATGTCAAATTTCAACCTTTTAGGTGCGATTTTGGCAAAATGAAATAAAAATAAAACTGAAACTTCGCAAAATGACGGTCTCAAAAAATTCCACTTAGGTACCCTGAAATTAATCTAAAAAATGAACTTTAAACGTTCAAGCCAGTCTTGAATATACCTACACAGTAGGTTAAATGGACTGACGTCTATCAGAAAACAACTACTCCCCTGGCTAATACCACGAAGGACGTTGGATTATATCCGACAGGCGTCAGTGCAGGAATCTTCTCAGAAAATTTCCTGCATATGCAATTGGCAATACAACTGAAAAAGTCGACCTTCAATTTTGGAACGGGCACACTTACAGACCGGTTTCGGGCTCATTAGCCACTCATAGTGCAAGATAGTGACCATCATCCTAAAGTCAATGAAATTCCATAAAAATTCTTTCAGAGTATTTCATTCCTCTTCCTAAGTTGGAGCGAACAACAAAATGTCACTCCATCTAGTGGACGAGGTACTAACCAAATGCATATCCGAAATGTGCCCGATTCCTCTGAATAAGGAAGAAAAACTGAAATTTTTGTAAGATTAGCAACCAGCATTCAAAAAAAAGATTTGTTTTTTTCGTTGTATCTGAACATGTTTTCCATTCAAATTGAAAAGTAGCGATTAGTTTTTTCGAATAAAAAGTTTCATGGTTTTCTGTAAACGGTGCTGGTGAAGTGATGAGACGAAAGTCTTCGAAACTTCGAAATACACCATTGGGAATTATGTTATATTAAGATTCTTTCATACATCATATTGTGCGTTCCTATGAATGATTCTGTTTCAATTCCTTCCGTGTAATTATTCATGTGAAAGTAGTTGTTCCGAAAGAGTTTTTCTGTTCTAGTTTGTATTAGAAAGAAACTTCCATGTATGCTATACATATATTCATGAAAAGTTTCTATTGTAGTTATTTTCTTACTTTCCTTCTTTAAAAGTTTCCCCACATGTTTTGATCAATGATGCAGAAGTATAAAGCCAGAAACTTTTTCTCACATGTTACTCATTCAAGATAATTGAAATTTATTAATTATGTATGTCATACAACAAATTGTATATTAACATGGAATAAATAAATTTGATTTGATTTGAAACATACTCCGGGAAGGTCTACTGATTCGGCCCTTCACTATGTGGTTGGCAAAATAAAAAGATCATTGGACAACAAAGAATCCACCCTGGGTATATTTATAGATATCGAGGGAGCGTTTGATAAAACAACCTTTCCAACAATTATCCAGCAACCACACTCCCGGAATGTACCTCTGGTTGTAGGAGAATGGATACTCAAGTAGAGCAATACGTATCAATGTAGAATACATCACAGTGAGAGGACTGGTCATGGAGGATGTCCACAGGGAGGGGTCTTATCATCCCTTCTTTGGAACATAGTTCTGGATACCCTGATTAATCACCTCAACATTAATGGATTCTACGCACAATTGCATATGCAGATGATATGTTTAAATATCACAGGAGCCATGAGAACAACAACATCGGCGGCAATGGAATTAATTACTGGTCTGACCCCTCTGGACCTGTACGTCAAGGAGATTGCGTTAATGGTTAATGGCTATGATACGATTGCGCACGGCTGGTGTAAACCGCGAAGTAGGAATGGGACAATTGAGGCTGAGCCTATGACGAGAAGCGCTTACTGCGCAACCTCTGCTGCAGGCAGCCAGTGATGCAATTGAACGCAGGTGTGTGTTAAATAAACCCTACAAAATGAAAATAAAACAGAACACAGAGTCAGATGCTACAAATGCAATACGCATATATACAGACAGCTCAAAAACCAAAAAAGATTCAGGATGTGGAGTGTACTCCAGATCACTAAGCCTAAGGATTAAGTGAGGAATGGGAAGAAATACCAGCGTAGTTAAAACAGAACCAGCTGGTTTCTCAATCGCCACAAAAGAAATAACCAAGAAACGAAGTTATGATAAATAACCAGGAAAGAAATTTCTGGCAGAAATAAAACCATCTGCACTGATAGCAGACAAGCCCTATTAGCCTTGAACAGACAACGTGTTACCTCAGGGCTAGTACAAGAATGCCACCAAGATTTAGCTTGGTGGGATTAAAGGGCACGACAGGAGTAAAGGTAATCGCATTGCCGACTCTTTAGCGAAGGAAGCGGCTGTAGTAAGAATTTTAGGACCAGTGGCAGCTATGCCCTGATGACTTCGACAATTGCGGAACTAGCCAAACGTCACACCCATGCTCAATCCCTTAATCTTCGCTTAACAATAGAATTTCTGACTGGCCACTGTCAACTAAGGAAACACCTCCACAATATGGAGCTAGTGGACACACCTCTCTGCAGAATGTGTGAACAGGAAGATGAATCAATAAGAGAGTGTGTGTTCGGCGAGTCTTGGCTCACACCTGCCAATATAAAAAAGATGTCTCCCAGAGACCTGTTCACCTCCCTAGAAAGGACAGGATGGACGATGACCTAGGAGGACAACTCCTTGGGAGGATGTACAATGGGTCACATGTGGCCTAAGTGCTGTGGGCCTACACTCACCCTCCCTACTCTACAGATACACAGAGAGGACCCTTTTTGGCCACAACTTCACTGATGTATCTATATAACTAGAATATGCTAAATTTTGAAACCTGCAATCGAATAAACTCAAAATGGGTAATTTTTTATAATTGTGGTGACGTATCTCTTTCGGTTTCCGATTTTCACATGACCCTTCTTATTTTAGACACATTGTATAATAAATATAAAAACTCAACCTTTTATACTGTTTTCAATAATATACTTTCAACTTTTTAATACAAATTCATTAATTATATGAACTTTTTTTATCCCATTTCATTAATATGACTACATATTATTGCAAGCTCAGCATAATTCATGTCAACGATTATTTTATTTGAAAATCATCAACTAGACTAGATCTATCTGTTCAATCTACTGTAATATAATCTTAAAGAAAAAATTTGAAACAAAATTGTATGACAAATATTACAAGTATAAATTAAACTTAGTATTTCTGAAGATGATTATATAATTTTTAGTTCAAATGATCCAGGAAGAAAATTTTCGTATCGTCTATACTCCATTCAAATGGATCTCTCAGTGATCTTCTTGCAACAATAAAAACCGGCATTATTTGTTATTGTTATCGTGATCGATTCATTCAATGTAAGGACTATATTTAGATCCCATGTTCTACGCCGAAACATCTGCCTCAAACTAGCGAAACAGTTACAAAAATCTTTTCAAGTATGTGGTAGTTTTTACAGAGAGATTTTGGCCATTCTTCAAATGTTCTGTCTTTATTTCAAACACAAAACGGCTGCCATCCTTATGGCAGCATTCAATTTGGTAAGTGATACGACATAAACGTTGCAATAGTTGCTAATTAACATCGCTTAGTTAGTGTCTTCCCATAGAAAATTATTAATCAATCGAAGATTTACTGAATTAGTCTCTCATATTATTCTTGACATTTCTGGGTTCATGGAATAGTTCCATAGTTTGGTTCCAGAGATCCGGGGAAATAAAAACATTTTAGTTTACCTAATACCTTTGGTGATCAATTTCTCTCTCATGCAATCATAAAAAATTGCATTGCAAGATTCAAAAGAGGTAAATTTTTCAACGGATGTTTTTCTGTGAACACTTTCGTGAATATCGATGCAGTTCATGACATAATTCTATAAATGTCAACAAACTGGAATCCAAATGCTGATGAAAAGCGCGCGTGCAAGCATAAAAAAATCTCCTTCAATCTCTACTCGATTTAAAAAAGATGCAACTTCTTTAACCATATTGGTATTATGGATGAATTTTGGGGTACATTTCTATGACCCATAAACAAAGTATCAATCGATGTATTCGAAACAGTCTGATTTTCCAAGATCCAGGTAATTTCGTGTTCAAAACTTTACTGGAAAGGTTTTTGTTTCATTTTTTTTTTTTGGAATGCCCAGGAATAATCATGACTGACTTTGTATATTAGATTGTTTCAAAAGATGTGTCCGTTTTTATGAGCCTACTTTGAACTCTAATATCTAATGAATACTTATTCAATTTAATCGAAATAATCGCCACTTCAATCAGTGCACTTTTGCACTGCACTTTTGATTTTGTCAGCATAGAAATTTATGCTCGGGACTTGATGAAGTCGACGAAAGCCTAGTCCTGATCAGCGAAGGTTCTACTCGTGAGAAAGTTTTCGAAGTGCTTCAAAAGATGGTAGTCAGTTGGTGAGAGGTCTGGGTAGTATGGTGGGCGAAGCAGAACTTCGACGACCAACTCGTTTAATTTTCGAACGGTGATTCATGAAACATGTGGGCGGGCGTTATCATGGAGCAGAATCAGACCTTTTCTGTTCACCAGTGCCGGTTAGTGCTGACGCAATTTTCAGTACATTTCGTCTATTTCCTCACAAGACTGCTGTGATGGTTTGGCTTGGTTACAGCCTACCTCTCACCACCATATAGTAACTATGGTCCTTTTTTAGTGGGTTTTCACTTTTGCACTTTTGCACTGCACTTTTGATTTTGTCAGCATAGAAATTTATGCTCGGGACTTGATGAAGTCGACGAAAGCCTAGTCCTGATCAGCGAAGGTTCTACTAGTGAGAAAGTTTTCGAAGTGCTTCAAAAGATGGTAGTCAGTTGATGAGAGGTCTGGGTAGTATAGTGGGCGAAGCAGAACTTCGACGACCAACTCGTTTAATTTTCGAACGGTGATTCATGAAACATGTGAACGGGCGTTATCATGGAGCAGAATCAGAACTTTTCTGTTCGCCAGTGCCGGTTGCTGCTAACGCAATTTTTGGTAAATTTCGTCTATTTCCTCACAAGACTGCTGTGATGGTTTGGCTTGGTTACAGCCTACCTCTCACCACCATATAGTAACTATGGTCCTTTTTTAGTGGGTTTTCACTTTTAGGAAGTGCCTAAGTGGCTCATCGGTGTCCAACCACTGCCCTGAAAGTATCTTGTCGTTCGTAGAGGATTCACTTTTCATCATACGTGACGATCCGATCCAAAAAAGATCGTTTTGGTTGCGCCGATCGTTCAAATCGTGGAGCACCAACTTTTCGAGCTTATTGACACTTCCAAGACGTTTCAAACCATCAAAAACCGCATGGGATCTGACGCCCAGTTCTGCCACTGTCCCACGCACCTTTTGTGATGGGTTAGTCTCCACCAGACTCCTCAAATCCTCATCCTGGATTACTGTAGGTTGACCACTTCGATGCTCATCTTCGAAGCTTAAATCTCCGGAACGAAATTCAGCAAACCAACTAACTATTTGAATTCGTAGAGAAAAATTGACCGAAAATCACTTAACGATATTATATAGAAACAGCATCAATGTAATCAGTACATAACACGACATAGGTTAGGTTAGGATAGGTTCAAAGTGAGTGGGTCTATTGGACCTGCCACGGCACCCGCAAGGGTCTATTGTGGCTTCACCACGACATAGAAGAATAAATATTTATTGGGACACGGAGCTACAAAAACGGACAGAACTTTTGAAACAACGTAATAAAATTGTAAAATAATATCTGAAAACCTCTATTAAGCTTCACTCACCACTCCACAAGAAATATTGAAAAAAAACTAGGAAGATTGTCCCTAAATCAGCACACAAATCGCATGGTACCGTGCAAACAATTCGTAATATATGGTTCAAATTACTCAAACACTCTTCTGATTGGCCTAGCATTAAGAAATAAGTGTAAAATATCATGAATTTTCTTTCAATGAAGAGATGATGAGAGATATGGAGGCCTATGGATTGCAAAACATGATAAAAACGTTTTCAACGGTCTAGAAGCTTTTCAAGTTCACTGTGATAAATGTAACCAATTAAGAGAAGAGTATTTTCAACAAAGAAATAGTTTGGCTTTCAAATTCTGTTTGCTTCTATAGTATGCTAACAATTTTTCAGTAGTGAAAATGAAAATTTCATATTATTCAGATTTTTTCTTTGAAATGTCACGTAAATAGTAATTGTGAATTCTCATTATCTGAAATTTATTTCTTTTAGTAAGTTCAGTATGCCAAAAACGCACGGGCACTGCTCTCAGAGCGATTCAAGCATTTTTATTCTTCCTTCTTTTTTTTCCGAGAAAACGGCTATTTTTTGATCTGCAACATATTATGTGTATTCCAAGCTTCCGAAGAAATTCAATGCAAATTATAAACCCAAATATTTGGGAAGAAATTGTCAACAAATTCGATTGTATGGTATTTTTCAGAGTGTTGGCATTTTTGGAACCATAACTTTCGCCGTAAGGGTCCAGTGCAAAATAAAATGTCTACCGTTACGTTATGACATAAGCGAGGACTATCTGATATTTTCCGTTTTTCACCTCATTTCCAGCATTCCGCTTATGGCTGCTCTTATTTGGGTGAGTATGGTGCACATTTAAAACTGCTGTCATTGCATTATCATTCAATTTGGAAAAATTGAAAAAAAAAACAGAAAAATGCGTTAATTCTATTCAACTGAATTTACTACAATGCTCAGTTTATAAACTTTCTGGAACATATTAGGATATTTTCCATATCACACTGCCTGATGGCCGAAGATTTCACAGAGGCTGGCTTACAGAGGCAGGCTTTTCTGGCAATCTGTGGTGCTATCAGTACAACACCGTCAGCAGGCATGGAGATCCTTCTAGATCTACTTCCTCCCTACATTTTTCTGGAAAGAAAAGATAGATGGACTACATATAGACTTGTGCACATCGCCAATTGCACAAATCAATCTAATGCAGAGTACACTAGACTGCTGGTTGATACTGGAATTCACAGCATTGTGGGAATGACCTCTGATATTATGCCTCCAATTGTCAACTACGAACTACCTCATACAGTACTCTTTCCGAATAGAGAGGACTGGATCCTCCGGCAAGAAATGAATTTTGAAAGTAGATAGTTGTTGGTTCACAGATGAATCAAAAACACCTTGAGGTTCTGGTGCAGGTGTTTTCAGTCGCAGACCCAGGAAAAAGTTTTCAACCTGCCTAGGAACCTATTGGACTGATTTCCAAGCGGAAATATATGCTATTGAATTGTGTGCGGAGAGATTGGTGAAATCTAACCTCGCACACAAGTCGATAAAAATATTCTTGGGCAGTAAAGCAGCGTTGAAAGCTCTTGGCTTCCATCAAGCAACGTCTAAATTGGCAGCGAATTTCCAAACACGACTTTCGTCAATATGGCGACTTAACAAATTGTCTCTGGTCTGGATTCTTGGCCATACTGGAGGCTACTGACTTGGTGCTGCAGGTTTTTCCGGGTTTTCCTGCAGCTGACAAAGCAAATGCACAAATGGAATCAATGAAGTCGCCCCAGAGCGCCAATTAATGTTTATTGTTGGTTTACAATTTCAAGATTTGTGTTTTGGAAGTGTTATTAAAAAGCTATTAGGCTTAAAAAATACTGAGGAACTAAAACTTTTCAAAATTTTAGAGAATGTAACTAAGACGCAACACAAAACGTATCGTGAATATTTTGTCTTATATACGATTTCTTAATCCACCCTTCATTCTAAGAAAGAAAAATGATGAATGATACCATTGTTAATAATAACATTATCACCAACACATTCACCTCCAAGGAATTCATTGATGAAACTTTGACTGTGATGATAAATCATATGAAATATATTAGAATGTTTATTATTTCAAATATGTACGATGTGGTCATTACAGTGAAGTTCAGTTACTTTTGGTTACACAATCGAAACTTAAACACTAATTCAAGTAAATGACTAACTATATCTCCACTTCAATCTGAAAATGTATGGCTACTTAATTGCATGTAGGATAGATAAGGTTAGGTTCAAATTAAGTAGATGTTTACTGGAGTGTAGGTAGAAGTTTATTGAGACTCTCACCATCAAGTCAATCTAGCTTCTGAACGAAGCCAATCAGTTTTTTCTAAAGATAATCAGTTAGTTCCTCTGGAAGATCTTTCGATCTTCCTCTTATGAGGAGACTCAGAAGAAAATTACATGTAAGACAATGTAGATCGACCCTGCTGTAGCCTCAAGTGTTTGGTGTTATTCCTCTACAGATCGAATTGACTTATCCTCGTGGATTGTCTCAGTGTTTGACAAAAGGCGTTCAGGAAAAATATTTAAATGTTGAGTATCTTGAAGATATTCAACACAGACGAATTTCCAGTAGATCCTAGTGTAGTAACAAGCAATATTTCCCAGAAAGATATCGTTCAGTGAAGTAAGGTGTATAAGGAAAAATTACAGGAAGTATTTTCATCTGTACGAATATCCCAAGATAAAGTGGCGTTCAATGCTGTTCACAGCTCTCAGTGACAGCAGAAATGTCAATTAATTATCAATCAAATCCATTGACCCACTGAGAGCATTGAACGCAGGTATTAAGGGGTCAATTGTTTGATAAGGAAATATTTAATTTCAGGAGCGACCAGTGTTAATTTTGATTTATGAAGTGATTCATATCTCGGCCTTGGCTGCTTTTCTTACACATTCTGTGATATTTGTTCCCATGGGAAGAACATTCTATGTCATTTGCTTGAGCTCATGTGAGTAACATTACCATTGTATTTTGACAATTGCCAGCTGATTAAAAATAGATCGAGAAAAATCTAAAAATTGCCAATTTGCTCATCAGCTACATATAANACGGGCACACTTACAGACCGGTTTCGGGCTCATTAGCCACTCATAGTGCAAGATAGTGACCATCATCCTAAAGTCAATGAAATTCCATAAAAATTCTTTCAGAGTATTTCATTCCTCTTCCTAAGTTGGAGCGAAACAACAAAATGTCACTCCATCTAGTGGACGAGGTACTAACCAACTGCATATCCGTAATTTGACCGATTCCTCTGAATAAGGAAGAAAAACTGAAATTTTTGTAAGATTAGCAACCAGCATTCAAAAAAAAGATTTGTTTTTTTCGTTGTATCTGAACATGTTTTCCATTCAAATTGAAAAGAAGCGATTAGTTTTTTCGAATAAAAAGTTTCATGGTTTTCTGTAAACGGTGCTGGTGAAGTAATGAGACGAAAGTCTTCGAAACTTCGAAGTACACCATTGGGAATTATGTTATATTAAGATTCTTTCATACATCAGATTGTGCGTTCCTATGAATGATTCTGTTTCAATTCCTTTCGTGTAATTATCCATGTGAAAGTAGTTGTTCCGAAAGAGTTTTTCTGTTCTAGTTTGTATCAGAAAGAAACTTCCACGTATGCTATACATATCTTCATGAAACGTTTTTATTGTAGTTATTTTCTTACTTTCCTTCTTTAAAAGTTTCCCCACATGTTTTGATCAATGATGCAGAAGTATAAAGCCAGAAACTTTTTCTCACAAGAAACAATGTTTTAGCATTCCTAGTCTTCAGAATAGGAATTATTTCAACACCATTAGCGGAATTTTCTGTAGATTGAAATGATTGTTGTACACTAACACTACTTATTTTGCAGGTTTCTTAATATATTGTATGTACTGCGTGTATCTGTTTTACCTGGAAATGAAATTAAAAAAGAGGAGTCGTTTTGAAACGGTTTATTGCATTGAAGCTGTATATTTTAGTAACAGTAACATCCGATAACTCATGTTCAGTAACCTGTTCAATAAAGTGTGGATTTTGAAATGGTAAATACTGCATTTCCTTTAGTATAAATGTAAGGATTATGTTCATTATGAACTATAATTTCAAATGTTTTCGAATTATTCTTCAAATATTCGTGGAGGCATGATCAGTATTGTTAATGCAAAAAAATCTCAAATCTTATAAACCAATCATATTGCGAAGGATAATCATGAAATTACTATGTACCTGAATATGTACCTACGTGTTGTAGTTGAAGAAACTATTCTCCTTTTGTGAAGAATGCACATATTCATTTTAACTTATCAAAATATAAATATTATTTCTAATCAGATTCTTTAAAAAAATCACTTATGTTGAAGAGTTTGAATGGCATAACATCATAATCTAGAAATTGACAAGCTTCATACAATTTGATGCTTCCTAGTATCTGTAAGTTAAGTTTAAACATATGTACTGCCTTAAAAACTCATCTCATTAGTTCACTAAATATGCCTTCACATATTCATTTTTTTTCCACGCCAAAATATACTCCTGGCACCAAAACTTTTAGTTTTCCACGAAATTGACGCCCATCAACGCGTATTTTCCAAATTCCTAAATCCAGCGATCCTGACGTAACCTATTTGAAAAACTGTTTTATCATCGGCGACATTGATGAAATAGGTTAGCAATTTTTCTGCTGCCAAAGGATGCCAAACGCCAAAGGTGCAAGCTGGATTATCCTCTGGATCGTAGTAATGGCATCGTCTTGTGACCCTCGTGGAAGGAACGTATTCGAATACGTTGACGAAGTTACAAAAGGGAAGCAGAAGGCGAATACCTGACGACAAAAAAGTTGCAATTAGTAATAACCAAAAACCAAATTGATCACTTCTTGTTGATGTTAAAATCGCATATACTCTCTTCATCATCTCTAAACCTACACAAAAAATTGAAAAAGACACGGTGGCACTGTCATTGGAGAACTTGTGCAACAGTTGTTGACTTGAGGTTAGTATGACATACGATGAGAAATCTCCTCTCAACTTTTATACCAATCCAGATATCAAGGGTTGGTAAAATCATGATTGACGATCTCATAGATGGTGTTTTCGTGAGATGCCATCACCTTTACTTTTAGGCTTGTCCTTTTTAGGTTCAGCATAGCACCAAAGATGAGACCTTAAAGGTCTACTCAATAAATATAAAAAAATGTTTTAAAAATGGGATTTAATAATAGGTTGTTTCAAAATATTTTTCCATTTTAATGACATGTTTTTGAAGCTCCATATAATAATAATAATAATAATCGTCTTTATTGTTACCCTGTAGTTACATACAAATATTTAAATAAATTAGAGAGCTAGTTGCTGACATAACAAAAGGCGAAGTTCAACTTAGTTAGCA